TGAACCTCTCACTTTTCCTCATTGTCTTGACTGTGTTTGTCTCAGGTGGTCGTTCCCCCCTCTCCTCGTTTCTGAAGGCCTCCTGTCCTGTCTCTGTTGAACCTCCTTGTCTCGCTGTTGAATTTCACTATTCACGTCATTGTCATTTTGTCTCTCTATTCCTCTTAGGCCTTTTGCTTTCCTTTTTGACTGTTTTCTCTTCTGCTGTGGCCCTGTACTTTCCTTCAGATTTGCTATCCGCTGCTATGTTCATTTTCATATTTCCCCCCCTTTCCTCCCTTTTTGAGCTTAATAGTCTTTCCCGGGTTTTCTACGACTGTGTCTGGTTTTTCGTCTTAGGTATTGTTTTTTTTGTGTGTGTGTGTGTGTGTGTGTGTGTGTGTGTGTGTGTAGGTGTGTGTGGTGTGTGTGTTGTGTGTTTTGTGTGTGTACTCACCTATTTGGACTCACCTATTTGTGGTTGCAGGGGCCGAGTCACAGCTCCTGGCCCCGCCTCTTCGCTGATTGCTACTAGGTCCTCTCTCTCCCTGCCCCATGAGCTCTATCATACCATCGCCTTAAAACTATGTATGGTTCCCGCCTCCACTACGTTACTTTCTAGGCTATTCCACGGCCTGACTACTCTATGACTGAAGAAATACTTCCTAACATCCCTTTGATTCATCTGAGTCTTCAACTTCCAATTGTGACCTCTTGTGTCTGTGTCCCCTTCTCTGGAACATCCCGTCTTTGTCCACCTTGTCTATTCCGCGCAGTATTTTATATTGTCGTTATCATGTCCCCCCTGACCCTCCTGTCCTCCAGTGTCGTCAGGCCGATTTCCCTCAACCTTTCTTCGTAGGACAATCCCGTAGCTCTGGGACTAGCCTTGTTGCAAACCTTTGCACTTTCTCTAATTTCTTGACGTGCTTGACTAGGTGTGGATTCCAAACTGGTGCTGCATACTCCAGTAGGGGGCCTGACGTAAATGGTATACAGAGTCTTAAACGAATCCTTACTGAGGTATCGGAACGCTATCCGTAGGTTTGCCAGGCGCCCGTATGCTGCAGCAGCTATCTGATTGATGTGCGCCTCAGGAGATATGCTCGGTGTTATACTCACCCCCAGATTTTTTTTCCTTGAGTGAGGTTTGCAGTCTTGGGCCATCTAAACTATACTGTGTCTGCGGTCTTCTTTGCCCTTCCCCAATCTTCATGACTTTGCATTTGGCAGGGTTAAAATCAAGGAGCCAGTTGCTGGACCAGGCTTGTAGCCTGTCCAGGTCTCTTTGTGGTCCTGCCTGATCCTCATCCGATTTGGATTCTTCTCATTAACTTCGCATCATCTGCAAACAAGGACACTTCTGAGTCTATCTCTTCCGTTATGTCTTACATATACCAAGAACAGCACAGGTCCTAGGACTGACCCCTGTGGAACCCCGCTTGTCACAGGCCCCCACTCTGCACCTTGTGGGTTTAAACCAAAGACTCTTTGTTGCCTCCGTGTCAGATATTCTCTGATCCATTACAGTGCCTTTCCTGTTATGTTGCCTGATCCTCTAGCTTTTGCAGTAACCTCTTGTGAGGAACTGTGTCGAAGGGCCCTTTTCTTGCAGTCAAAATATGCAGTCGATCCCCCCCTCTCTCTCTTGTCTTATTTTCTGTCACCTTGCCCAAAAAAACTCTAGTGGGTTTTTGTGACACAGGTTTCCTTCCCCGAAAAACCCTGCTGGTTGTCAATTATACACTTGTTTTTTTTCCCCGGTGCCCCCCCACCCTCCTCCTGATGATCCCTTTTCCCCTGACCTTGCATACTATACACGTTAGTGATACAGGTCTGTAGTTTAGTGCCTCATGTCTGTCTCCCTTTTCAAAAATTGGGACTACATTTGCCATTTTCCATACCTCAGGGGGTTGCCAGTTTCAATGATGTGTTGAAATCTTTGTTAATGGCTCACACAATATCTCTGCTCCCTCTTTAAGGACCCATGGAGAGATGTTGTCTGGTCCCACCGCCTTTGAGGTGTCAAGTTCGCATAGCACTTCTTCACTTCCTCCTTGGTTATAATGTACCTCATCCAGCACTTGCTGGTGTGCCCCCCTGTTCTGATTTTCCTGGAGTCCTACTGGTTGTTACTGTAAATACCTCTTTAAATCTTGTGTTGAGCTCCTGACATACCTCTTGGTCGTTTCTTGTGAATTTCCCATCACCCTTCCTCAGTTGAATTACCTGGGCCTTGACTGTTGTTTCCCCCCTGATGTGGCTGTACAACAGCTTCGGGTCAGTCTTTACTTTTGATGCTATGTCATTTTCATATTGTCTCTGAGCCTCCCTTCTTTTCTGTGATATTCGTTTCTGGCTCTTCGGCTGATTTCTTTATTTTTCCTGAGTTCTCTGTCTTCTGCCCTTTTTCAGTTTCTAGTACACCTATTTTTTTGCCTCCCTCACCTTTGGGGAACCAAGGACTCGTTCTGTTTTCCCATTTTTCTGTTTCCCTTGGAAAAAACCCTTCCTCGCTCCTTGCATTTTGTTGTGACTAGTCCTATTTCTTGTACTGGTTTCCTTTCTTTCCCTCTCCACTGAATGTTTGAAGGAAGTTCCCCATGCCTGAGTATTCCCCCCTTTTTGTAGTTTGGTTTTTTTCCCCGCCTATTCCCTCTTCCCCCCTCCACTTGGAGCTCAATTGTAGTCGAAGCACAGAACCCCAAGATCACACCCCGGGGCCTTTTAACATGATACCCTCGATGTCCCAACTAACCCAAAGGGGAAACAATTTCCCGCCTTGCTGGTTCATCCCCTCCTCTCTTCTGGTAGTGTCTCTAACATGTTGATGCATGGGTGTGTGCCTGTATGTGGTGTGGGGTGTGTGTGTGTTGTGGTTTTGTGTGTGGTGTGGTGTGTGTTTTGTGTGTGTGTGTGTGTAGGTGTGTGTGTTGTGTGTGTGTGTGTGTGTGTACTCACCCAGTTGAGGTGCGGGGGTCGATCCCGGCCCTGGCCCCCCCTCTTCACGACGCTACTTGGTCACTCTCCTGAACCGGACTTTATCATACCCTGCTTTAAAACTATGATGGTCCTGCCTCCAAAAAATGCTTCCCAAAATATTTCCCCTTACGTTACTCGTGGCTGAAAAAATCCTTCCTAACATCACCCCCCCCCCCCCCCCCCCCCCCCCCCCCCCCCCCCCCCCCCACCCCCCCCCCCCCCCCCCCCCCCCCCCCCAAAACCCCCCCCCCCCCCCCCCACCCCCCCCCCCCCCCCCCCCCCTCGTACACGGGGTCCCCAACTTCCATTGGTCGGAATCTTCTGATTTGCTGGGCCCCATACTCCAGTTATTTGGGTTATGTCGTTTCAAAAGTCCTTTTTCTCCCCCCCAAAAATTTTTTTTGGTGATTTTACTCTCCCCCTAGATTTCTCCGTCTGGGTTTCTTTGCCAAAATTCCCCATCTTTCTGCTTTGCCCGGTGGGTTAACTTCCAACCATTGGGCCAGTCCGCGGCTTTTCCCAAAACCTTTTATTCTGCCCGGTTTTTTGGGTTTTCTAAACCCTATCTGCAAACAGGGAAATGGTTATTCCCCCGTTTTCGGTAAAATACCAAAACCCCGACTTCCTAGGATGACCCCCCGGTGGGGCCCCGCTGGTCACAGTGCCCCCCCTGACACCTCGCCACGTACCATTTACTCGCTGCTGTCTTCCAAAGTATTCCTTTATCCAGCTCATCCAAATTCCAGCATTTTTGAACAGCAATGCCACTCCTCCAACCCCCCCTGTCCCTTTGTGTGTGTGTGTGTGCTGTGTTGTGTTGTAGGTGTGTGTGTGTGTGTGTGTGTTGAGTGTGTGTTGTGTGTGTGTAGGTGTGTGTGTGTGTGTGGTTGTGCGTTGTGTGTGTAGGTGTGTGTGTGTGTGTGTGTGTTTTGTGTAGGTGTGGTGTGTGTGTGTTGCATACACAGTGGATATAAATCTCACACTTTCTCTGTGTGTATGAAATGTTACAAATAATGCAGTAGGCTCTATGGAAGTTTAGTGTACATAATATGCAAATTTTTCGCGTGTTGGTGAGTGCAGACAGATGTTATAGACATAAAAGAACATTAAGTTCATTTAACCTAAGATAAACAAAGTCAAACAAATTTATTTATTTCTGAACAGAATAAACATTCTCCACTTTGTTTGCAAAAACTAATTTGATAAATAAAATTATCACAAGATAACTTACACGATCTAACATGAAGGGATTGTTAACCTTGAGGACAACACATCAACACTTAAAGTTTAAAGCCGACCCGATGATGCGTTCTCTAGTTATTACACAGACTCCAACAAAAATTGTGCCTACACAGCCTAAATCCATCAAACATTCCATCCATTTTACACAATACTTGAACCATTGAAGACTGGTGCCGCTCACAATTGTTACATTTTCATCAGAGAAAAGCGTTAAATCATTATGGGTCATATTACCCTGTGGAATGGGAAGCATTCAGATTTGATCCAAGCAAGGGAAAGATTAGCCCAGTTCCTTGGATCAAGACCCCTCACCAGCATCAAAACAACAATGCAATATAGTAAAATAATACAAGGAATTTTAAAAAGATCATTTTAAACACCTCGTACTGTATCATTTCGATTTTGAAAATGGCAAAATGTCAACAACACACCATTAACTACACTAACCTTCTTTTAAGTTGGAAACACCACTGTTGAAATTCTGAAGCCTATCAGTGGAGGCTGTCTCCACTCACAACACGCAAACAAAATTTGAAGCCGATTGGATGAGGCGTTCTCGAGTTATGAGTAAAATAAAATAAAAAGGTTAGAGGAAGAAAAAGCAACAAGCAACGTCTTAAGGTGCACCTTCATGGGACCAATTAAAACGTAGGTCCACATTGAGTACTGTGGCAATCAATATTTTAAATCAATTGAGTACGAGGCTTTATAATGAGCTGATACAGCAGCAGTTCTTAGCTTGAAAACAAAGGTAAGAGCCCTTAACCTAACCTTGTAAATCCCTTGTGTAAAAGAGAGAAAGAGAGAGAGAGAGAGATAAGGAATGGTTTTGACAGTTGCTGCCTCCCAAGCAGCACTTCTGTACTTGTCTCATTCTCTCACTGGACTTCTTGAGGATCACACGCATACTGAGGTGAGGATCCAGCAAGGTGTCCGTTGGAAAAAGGTAGCTCTTAGAAGGTAGCATTAGAAAGTGAAGTGTTTTATTAAAATGGTAGATATAATGTTCTCCTAAGATTGTATTATATGTTCTTTAAGCTAATGACGATTAAGGTTTATTTTTTAGTTGAATTTTTAATACTTTACACACACACAGCGAAGAGGTGGGGCCTAGAACTGAATCGACCCCTGCAACTACATATAGGTGAGTATACATACACTCGACCCCTGCAACCCAATAAAGGCGAGTACATATACACACACACATGGTTCTACCCAGGACAAGTACACATTAACCCAACGTCCCTGTTCTTCTTAGTACCACTAACCAATTGCATTTCTCCTGGCTCTTCCCAGTACTACTAACCACAGATCCTGTATTTTGATTCTTCCCAGTATCAGTCATGAAGTCGCTGATTAGTGGAATGGTGGTGGTGGCGGTGATGATGGCACTGCTGCTGCCTGCTGTCTCCAGCGCTCAGGCACTAGGTAAGAAATAATTAAGAGTAATGATAATGACGACGCTGTTAGCAATAGAACTACCTCCTTACATCACTTCCCACCGAGAACCTTCCTCTCTCCTTCCGTCCACTATCCCTGTACAATTTCCCTATCCCTGGAGTCCCCTCTCCCACTTGTTGGCGAAAACTTCTTCATCCGATAAACTGAATCTCTCCTTCCATTACTCATACTGAGTCCAAATATTCCCTACTCCTCCATTTTTTTATTGTCTCAGCGGTGACATTTTCCTTTTCTTAGAATTCCATTCCTTTCCTCAAGAAAGGAAAATAGATCTCTATCCAGCCCTTTTCTACCATTCCTTGCGAGGGTAGTGTGTGGTGGACGTGTCACTCCACCCAATTAAATCTGAGCCCATCTTAGGACATGTCGGGTAACCCAGCAGCGAAATAACAGATGACCATCCAGCGGTAGATGGTAGAAGTATTACTAGACACTGCCTACCAACCTAGCTGGGTGCTCAACTCATGGCCTTCGTTCTAGTTCTTGCTCAATTATTTCTGAAGATGCCTTTGTGGTGTAGAACATCAAGTAAGGCAGAAGGTTGTTTCCAAGAACAACGACAATGTTTGTCACATCGGTAGAGACTGCTACTCGAGGTGAATTTGTGAATTCATTTCATTTATATCAAGGACATTTTCCACTTCTCTCTTCATATCAGTGACGATGACTCCACTTTTCTGACTGTTTAGATTGTGACAACCCTTACTGACCCGGCACGGACACGGATTGTTCTAGGAACCAGAAATTGGTTTGAAGCGATTACCCAGAAGCTTAATCCGATACTAGTGTTGTGCATTTTCTCTCAGATAACCCTGACCACTGCTGTACCTTGACCATGCCTTCACAGCATTTCCCACTACGCTATGACGGTTTACGGATCGTTTACGCTTAAACAGAGCTGTCTCCGGCCAGCTGCCAAACGCCTTTGACATACCACTGATGACTCAACTGTCTTGAAGTACCCATCTCCTCATCCACGCTGTAGGAAGATATCCCAACGTGGGTTCCACTTCCACTTAAAAATGTCTTTGGACACTATCCATGGACAAGATTTTCATACTCAAACTCCTAATACCTGATGTGTTCCTCAGTGATCATTGATTTGCTCAAACTCTCCTGGCCTCCGTTGATCCACATATCTCCTTCCATGCACTGAAGAGTGGGATACACATTGTCCAGGTTGAAAAGGTTGCTGCTGCTCCATATTACAGGCAGATATTACAGCAGATAGATGCTTCACCCTTAATTTCTATTGTGGAACTGTAGCATTCTCACATGCAAGAGTGTTCTTCAGATATTCATGTACAGTTCAAACTTAAGGGCTTACCAGCCACCAAAGTTCAAAGTTATGTCCATTTTTTCTGACTGGAGCTTCCCTTAGTCAACACTGCAAATCATTGGTTGGCTGTAAGTTACCTAAACAAACGCCTCAGAAGTGTCGCAACTGCTGACGTTTTGACTACCCAAAAAATATTGTATAATACACAGAGGTGTGCTTTTTCCTGATGAAACTCTGCTTTTGAGAGATTCTAAAGAGAAGTTAGAGAGGTTGGTGGACGAATTTGGGAGGGTGTGTAAAAGAAGGAAATTGAAAGGAAACACAGAGAAGAGCAAGGTGACGAGATGGAGGGAGTATGGAGGAAGTGAATATGTTCTGATATCTGGGAGTGGATTTGTCAGCAGATGAAAGACGAGGTGAACCACAGAAATGAGGGGAAAATGGTGAATAGTGCACTGAGGAGTCTGTGGGGGACAAAGAACTTTATCCATGGAAGCAAAGAAGGGACTGTATGAGAGTATAGCTATACCAACACTCTTATATGGGTGTGAAGCATGGGTGGTGAATGTTGCAACAAGGAGAAGGCTGGAGGCAGTGGAGATGTCATTTCTGAGGGCAATGTGTGGTGTGAATATTATGCAGAGAATCCACAGCTTGAAGATTAGGAGGTGCAGGGTTTCCAAAATATTCAGAGCACTGAGGAGGGGTTACTGAGATGGTTCGGACATTTAGAGAGGATGAAACAAAATAGAATAACTTGGAGTGCATATAAATCTGTAGTGGAAGGAAGGCAAGGTAGGGGTCGTTCTAGGAAATGTTGGAGGGAGGGGGTAAAGGAAATTTTGTGTGAGGGGTTTAGACTCTCAGGAAGCGTACGTGAGCTTGTTAGATAGGAGCTAGTGACGGTAAATTGTTTTTATAACTTGATGTGCTGTTGGAGTATGACCAAAGTAATATTTATGAAGGGATTCAGGGAAACTAGTTAGCTGGACTTGAGTCCTGGAGGTGGAAAGTACATTACCTGCACTCTGAAGGATGGGTGGAGATATGTTGCAGTTTTTGAACTATAGTGTAGGCACGCCTTTGGCAAGACAGTAATGGAGTGAATGATGATTAAAGTGTTTCTCCTTTGTCGGGTCACCCGGCCTCGGTGGGAAACTGCCAATGTGTTAATAAAAAAAATATAACACAGATTGAGTGTCCAATTCCATTGAGACGTAAATCACACCGACTTTTCCTTCTAACGACCTCATTCTTAACCTAACTGTAAAGAACACTTCCCACATCCTCATCGGTCCCTCTTGACACAGAGCGCATGAAGTTCATTGTTTGAAGAAAATTAAAAGAAAGACAATAGCCTCAGGCCAAGATGAATTTGACTGTAAGATCTTTAACTACCTAAATTAAGTTTTAACAAGTAAATGTATTTGATCTAGTATCTGGGTCACATTTTCATTACTCAGCTCTGTCTTATAATCTTCCTCGCCTCACTCAACCTTTAAAACAACTGAATGTAAAAAAAAAGTATTTAAAAAGGTAAGGGGGAGGCTTAGATAGGGAAAAAATGGGAAATTTTGGAAAAAAAATATTTTCTTACCGAAAAATAGTGCATAATTTTGGCAACATATTAATGCAATCTGCTTGTTTCTATCATATATCTAAGTATCTTTTTCAAAAAAAAATACCTTATCGACCTTTCAAAAATCATATTGCGAAAACTGTTTGACAGAATGCCATGATTATTTTTACACATTATCAAATTTGCATTGTTTTAGAACGAGACATTTGCAATATACAGTGTGTCCACAAAAACACTCCTTGATTTCAAATAGGTATAACATGTAACTTTACTATAATAATCTTTCACAGTTAGTATCTTCAGATGAAGGTTTCATTCAATTTCATGTGGTATAGGGTAGCATTAAAGGCACTCAATGTGCGCCCCTCTGGTTGCTCGGCAAACATCGATGTATTAGTCAAGTTTGATCCACTCTGCAGCATATCCGGTGTTATCATGTGAACTGCTTCAGTGATTGAAATTTTCAGCTCCTCCAGGGATGCAGGTGGTTGTGGTACGTAAACTGTGCTCTTCACGTACCCCCAAAGAAAGAAGTCACAAACAGGTCCAGTGACCTCGCAGGCCACTTGCAGAGGTCACCAGACCTAACTGTTTGTGACTTCTTTCTTTGGGGATACGTGAAGAGTACAGTTTACGTACCACAACCACCTCCTACAACCTTGGAGGAGCTGAAAATTTCGATCACTGAAGTAGTTCTCATGATAACGCCAGATATGCTGCAGAGCGTCTGGACCAAACTGGACTATCACATCGATGTTTGCCGAGCAACCAGAGGGGCGCATTCTTTTATTATGCAATCTATTGGCATCTCGCTCGAAAGCCTGTTATGTTTCTATTTAGACTTTTATCTTTCATCTGGTGTCAATTAGAACATTGTTCCTCTTACCAATTTTTTTATGATTTTTGCATTGTACCCTATAAAATAGTGCATTATTATTTTTTTTCTCTATCTTTTGAAACTTTTGTTTCAAAAGATAGAGAAATGCTGTTTAAATCACAATAAAAATTCATTGAAATTAGACAATTAGAAAACAAAATTTAACCCTGCCCCTGTAAATTCTCTAAGGCACCAACCGATCGAAAACTCTCCTAACATTTCTGTAGGAACAACAAATATCTTACCGGATTCTACAGTGGCTGAGCATCACTGTTACTGAGTCGCCTTGTCTGGGCCAACTTTGGCTGACTGATTACATTAGCACAGATTTCACATCAACTTTATCTTGTCGTTCAACCTTGTCGCATTAACTGACTTAGGTTTTCTTCACCCAGACTGAAAAGATATATAGAGAATAAATTGATGGTATTTGTCAACATTGATAGACGAGTGTACTTTAAAGCTTTCGTGTGCTATTTATCACATCAGCCTCACCATAGGCATTACGAAACGAGGATCAGTTTATATATGTGCTGCATTATACCCTGTCTTATAATATCACCTGTTATCTTGCCAGTTCCTCTTTTTTATAAGCTGTTACTGAATCCTTGTCTTGTGTGAGTGACAGAAGAATGCCAGGACCCACCCGGGAACAACGAAATTGCTGCTCTCATCGTTAAGGCAGTAGAAGCTGTTCGTCCCATCCTTAGCAACGGCATCCCAGAGCTTGGGATACCACCTCTGGACCCCCTGGGCCCCTTGCCTAATATAGCATTCCATATTGATGTTCCGCGTCTCAGGTATGGTGGGTGGTGATGTGGTGTGTGTGTGTTAGTTAGTTACCGTTTTGTCCTAGGCACATGTCGATTAGACACTAGGCCTGTTGTAGGTGTGTAGGTGTATATATATGTGTGTATGTGTGTATATATATGTGTGTGTTAGTTACCATTTTGTCCTAGGCACATGTCGATTAGACACTAGGCCTGTTGTATATGAGCACGTGTGTGTGTGTGTGTGTGTGTGTGTGTGTGTGTGGTGTGTGTGTGTGTGTGTGTGTGTGTGTGTGTGTGTGTGTGTGTGTGGTCGTGGTCGTGGCGTGTGTGGTTGTGTATGGTATTGGTGGTGTTGTATGATGGTGCTGTGGTGTGTGGTTGTACTGTGGTGTTAAGTGGGGTTCTGGGGGATGATAGCAGTGTTGGTGGATGGGGAGGCGTTGGTTGAAGTGTGTGTGTATATGTGTGGTAATTGTTTGTAGCGTTGCTAGTATATGTGCATGGTAGTTGTTTGTAGTGCTGCGTATACGCAGCAGTATCTGGTAATCGTAGTGGTGACAGAGGTGCGTGGTATGGTAGTGTATAGTGGTCCAATCTACTATAAATTACCTCACATCTGGACACTAACACATCCAGATGGAATGTAATGTGTTAGTGTACAGTGACTGATGTTTGTCATGATGTGTAGTGTGGTAGTAGATAGTGGGATGTGATTTGGTAGAATACGGTGATTGTTGTGTGTAGAGATGTGGTGGTGATGGTGGTATGTAATATAGTAATGTCTGGTCGTGGTGATATGTATGGTGGTGATTTGCCATGAGGCATGGTATAGTGGTGATAGTCGTGTGGTGGTGGTAGTCAGTAGAGTGATATGTAGTGGTAATGTGTAGTGGTGCTGTGTCGTAGTGATGGCATAATTAACAATTTGTAAATATTTACTTGAGTTATCTCATGAGCCCTCTTAACTTTCTCGCATTTGAGATCATGTATGGAGTCAGCCTCTTTATTTTTGCCTGACATGAGTAGAGGGATAACATAAGTTAAACATATTGCTTGTACGATGTATCCTTCAGGCCAGCCCAGGGGTGACGCTGTCAGGGAGGTTATATATCATGTCTGTTGGGCGCTATTTTGGATGTCTGTAGAATGATCCCTGTCGGGCATGTACCCACTCGGTCTTTTTCCCAATGTGCTACCCACTGCCCGCTGCCCATCAGTGGAGTGGGCACGGAACTCCTGAGGCAGGGGCGCTGGTAACCTGAAGGAGGCGTGAATAAAGGGGAGTCTCTAGTTCTTGGGATCCCCACGAAGCAGGGATCCCTCGTCTTTACCCCGAAAAGTGGGGGAGGAAACCCACAAGTAAACTCTAGCTCCTGTCCACAGACTGGGAAGCTTTCCAGTTTTTAAGATGAGCTTCAGTACTTGTCAAACGCATCATAGCTTCTAGCTCCCCCAGTCTCCAGCTCTTGGTCTTCGAGTCATAGCTTAAAGATTCTGTTCATATGTTTCTATAAAGAAGTTGGAGCTTTATGTATATTTCTCTCTTATAAATTTTAAGAGGTATTATTTAGGTATTTTTGTCTCATAATGAAGATAAAAGAGGAAGAGAAGAAGGAGGAGAGATGATAAGGAGGATAAGGGAATTATATGAACCACCTGTTCATTAGTATAATTAATGAGACAGCGGAATGCAATTATATTTTCTAAAACTGAACATTGTTAAAGACTGTACAACAATGGCAAGTTCTTTCCTGTGGCTGCCACATTATAGTGCATCACAGTACATAAAGTGAGTATCATGCACTCGCAGAGATGAGTATGTTGGTTAATGCTTCTACATGTACATTTACGTAACAGCTTTCCTTTGTACTTTAACATGAATGGGTTACTGAAAAAAATAGATGCATTATACTCTTTTTACTCAAAATCATACACAAAAACAATATGGGGTGATATAACATGTACATATCTTTCACTGATATGTTTTCACACAATCATATATGCAAGAACTAGACAGTTACAGAAAAACTTCATTATGCTGTATATAAAATAAACATTTATAACATTATTTCCACATAAACTCTAGCCATCGTTACAAAATAATAAATTAGATGCATTAACAATCCTAGCCAATATTTCACCACTTTTCTAGCCTTTTAATCTATCTTTATAAAGAACAAACCAATGCACTATATTCATAATGGCGAGTATCCATAATTTATTCTAACTCCTCTAAAAATATCTTCTCAGGGAAATCTCTCACTTATATGCAACCTCAAGTTCTTCTTAGTTTGTCCATATATTCAACATTCCACCACAACCACCTTACTGGTAGGTACTTATACCCTTCTCACTAAACCTAGCTCACTCAGCCCTCTCATTCCTAAAGGAACTCTTCAAGTTCCTATAATTCCTAAAGGAACTCTTCAGGTTCCTATACCTAAAGGACTCTTGAAGTTCCTGTAGATCCTAAAGAAACTTTTTGAGTTCTTATAATTCTTAAAGAAACTCTTCGTCTTCCTATAGTTCCTTAAGAAACTCTTCAAGTTTCTATATAATCTCTTCGAGTTCCTATAAGGAACGGGCAGGACATAGGCACCTCAAATTCAACAAGGCAAATTATTTTCTCGATCAACAAGACTGTCATTGAAAGGTTCTACTGATGTTATTATATTTTAAGTTGTGACAATTACTTCAGTCTCTTCGACTCAGAAAGTTGTTTCCCATTTTCTGGCTTACTTCTCCAGCTCCTTACATTGCATTTAAAGTGCTTGAACTCTAGTAGCCACTTGGTAGTGTAAGCTGTTGGGTGTAATGGTAGTTATATATGGTTGTAATGTCTCATTATAGTTGTCCTGAAGTACTTAATGGTTATAGCTATGACCATAATTTTTAAAGGGGCAGACCGGTAAGCCAGAGGAAGGCCTCGGTTATATGACTAGAAGCTCCAACGGCGGGTCATCATCTAAGACCCGCGTCAGGAAGCACTTGTCCTGTTTCCTGACGAACCTTACCTAACCTAACCTCTCGTTATAGTGTTCAGTATAAATACTTTTTGGTCAGCTTCACATTTCTTCATCCATTATCATCCCCATCACACTCACCTCACCTCTCTATCTCTTACAGGATGGACGGGTTGCTGAATGAGACTGTGGTCAGACATATATCCGAGTTCATCATCTGCCAGCTTAACTTCACTCTGGGCATCACGGAGAAGCTGGAACTTGACATCCGTTTAGAAGACTTCCGTATAGACGGATATTATGACGTGGACGGTCTTGCTCTCTCCCTCTTCCCGGTTTTCGGCAATGGGAATTTTAGGTAAGACCCAGAAGGCAACTGAAGTCATGGGAGAGCAGGTGACGTCGTGGGAGGGAAGGATAAGATGACGTCACGAGAAGAATGCCAGGAATATAGATATATAAACATCACATGTCATTACACATTGTGTTCCCTCAACTGCCCACGAGAGCCATCGACTTGACCCAGCCAGTCAAAACATTGTTTTACTTTTCTCTTCTCTGAATGGCTGGGCTTACACGAAGTCTCTCTGTTTTCTTTCCTGTGGCATAGAACTTTGCAATGCGGTCGGTATTGCGGTCATACTTTCCAACATCAAGGATCAAAATCCCTCTTTTCTTTTTTTCAAGATGGCGGTCTACAAACTTATTCCAGTTAAATCTTTTAAATTTAAATGCTACTATTTACACCTAATTGCTCTCCTACACCATATTACCAGCCACCTTTACCATCTCCCCATCCCATCACTCACTTTCCCTATCATCCCGTTCTCCCTCTCATCTTCATCCATCACCCCATCCCACCCTATCCCTCACCTCACTTTCACCCATCATCCTGTTCTACCTCTCACCTTCATCCATCAATCCATCCCATCATCACCTTCACCCCTCAAACCCCTCCCCCAACTAAATACTCTCGTTGTTTCCTCCCATCCTCCGATGGATACAGGTTAGGTTAGGTAAGGTTTTGCCAGGAAACAGGACAAGTATTTTCTGACGAAGGTCTTAGTCACATGATGACCCCCCTCTGGAATTTTTGGTCATCTGACCGGGGCCTTCCTCTGGCTTTTTAATTTTCTAACCACCTTTCCCTTTTCTTATTGGGGAAATACAGTCTGGACGTGTATGAGGGGCAGTCGGGGGAGGGGCCAAGATCTCTTACAACCCCTTGAGCGCCCACGCTTCCATCAAGGACCTTACCTTGACATTAACTTTGATAGACTAGTGGTAAGCCCCCTTTTTTTCTCCGGTTTGTAGCATTCCTTTCTATGCATGTCTTTTCCATGCGTCGTATTTCTCTTCCATCCCATTTTTCCTATCGTCTTTCCTCTGCCGTCGTCTTTTTCACCTTCACTTTATTTCCCTTCACTTCCATAATTACCTGTTCTTCCTCTTCAACTTCGAAGACCACAAGTCATTTAAAATTTTTCTTTAGAGAAGATGTTGAGGAGTACTGATGCTTGATGTAAGAAAACGGAGAGATTGTTATCAGTTATTTAGGGGTCCTCCCTCGGGGAGACATCCGTAGTAGTTACTTGAGTATTTTTTATTATAATCATAGAGAAGCAATAAACATGTAGGGGGTATATAGCACCTGGGAAATGAGGGGCAATGGGAGGGGTAGCTGTCATTCCTTCACCAGCATAAAGGGTGCACTCACCCCTTTCCTCGAGGGAAGTGGCCTCCTCTTAGATAAATGTGATATTTTATTGGTCAACGTTTCGCTCTGCAGGAGCTTTGTCAAGCCCTTACAACATTGCAAGGACAAAGAGGGTATTATTTTTTCAACGCACCGGTCGTATCCCACCGACGCAGGGTGACCAAAAAAAAAAAGAAAGTTTTTCTTTTTAAATTTAGTAATTTATACAGGAGAAGGGTTACTAGCCCCCTTTCTACCGGCATTTTAGTCGCCTCTTCCAATGGGGCATGACTTACGGAGGAAGAATTCTTTTCCACTTCCCCATGGAGGGTAAAAGGAAATGAAGAACAAAAACTATGAAGAAAATAGAAGAAAACCCAGTTGGGTGTGTAAACATATACGTGTGTAATACACGTTTAGTGCGACCTCAGTGTAAGTAGAAGTAGCAAGATATATATGTTATCCCCCGTGTTTGTGAGACAGAAAAAGAATACCCGCAACTGCCTCCATTTTAGGATAATACAGGTAGAGGGAATATATATATATATAAAATTTTATATATATATATATATATATTTATATATATATATATATATTATATATATATTTTAAAATATATATATATATAATGTGTGTGTTTTGTGTTTGTGTGTACTCACCTATTTGTGGTTTCAGGAGTCGATTCATAGCTCCTGGCCCCCGTCTCTTCACTGATCGCTACTAGTTTTCCCGTCAGCTTTATCACTGAGGGAAAAAATTCCTAACATCCCTTGACTCATCTGAGTCTTCAGCTTCCAATTGGGGACCCCTTGTTTCTGTGTCCCATCTCTGGAACATCCTGTCTTTGTCTACCTTGTCAATTCCTAGCAGTATTTTATATGTCGTTATCATGTCTCCCCAACCCTCCTGTGTCGTCAGGCCGATTTCCTTTAACCTTTCTTCGAAGGACAATCCCCTTAGCTCTGGGACTGGTTTTGTTGCAAACCTTTTGCACTTTCTGTAAATTTTTTGATGTGCTTGACCAGGTGTGGATTCCAAACTGGTGCTGCATACTCCCGTATGGGGCCCGACAAAACACGTTTTACATAGTCTTGAATGATTCCTTACTGAGGAAACGGAACGCTATTTTAGGGTTTTCCAGGGGCATATATGCTGCAGCAATTATCTGGTGGATGTGGGGCATCAGGAGATGTGCTCGGTAAATATCATCCAAGATCTTTTTCATTGAGTGAGGTTTGTAGTCTTTGACCCCCTAGACTATGCATGCCTGATCCTCTAGCTTTTGCATTAACCTCTTGTGAGAAACTGTGTCGAAGGCCTTCTTGCAGTCCAAGAAAATGCAGTTTATCCACCTCTCTCTCTCTTCTCTCTCTCTCTCTCTCCTCTCTCTCTCTCTCTCTCTCTCTCTCTCTCTCTCTCTCCTCTCTCTCTCGTGTCTTACTTCCATTACCTTGTCATAAAACTCCAGTAGGTTTGTGATGATTATCCTTTTCTGAAACTGCACTGGTTGTCGTTTATAAGCCTGTATCTTTCTAGGTGCTCCATCACTCTCCTCCTGACAATCTTCTCCATGACTTTGCATGCCATACATGTCAGTGACATAGGTCTTTGTTTAATGCCTCATATCTGTCTCCTTTTTAAAAAATTGGGACTACAATTGCCATCTTCCATACCTCAGGTAGTTACCAGTTTCAATGGATGTGTTGAAAATTGTTGTTAGTGGCACACACAAATATCTGCTCCCTCTCTAGGGACCCATGGAGAGAATGTCCGGTCCCACCACCTTTGAGGTACAAGTTCACATAGCAGCTTCTTCACCTCCTCCTCGTTGTGTGTATTTCATCCAGCACTTGTTGGTGTATCCCTTGTTGGTGTACCTCCCATTCTGACTTCCTGGATTACCTGGTCCTTGACGTTGTTTTCCCCCCTAATGGGCTATACAACAACTTCAGGTCAGACTTGACTTTCAATTCTATGTCATTTTCTTATTGCCCCTGAGCCTCCCTTTTATCTGTGCATACCGTTTCTGGCTCATCGGCTAATCTATTTTCCTGGGTCCTTTGTCTTGTACTTTTCCATTCTCTAGTGCACTTATTTTTTTCCCTCCCTACATTTTTGGGTGACCCAAAGGGACTCGTTCTGATCCCCCATTATTTCTGTTTCCCTTAGGAACAAACCTCTCCTCTGCCTCCTTGCATTTTATTGTCACATAGTCCATTTCTTTTATTGTTTTCCTGCCAATTCTCTTTCTAACTGAATGTCTTGCAGGAAGTTCATCATGCCTGTTTAGTCCCCCCTTTTGTAATTTTTCTTCTCCCATCCTATTCCTGCCACCTTTCCACTTGTAGCTCAACTATGTATTCAAAGTACAGAACCACATGATCACTAGCTCTAAGGGGCCTTTCGTACATGATATCCTCGATGTCTAAACTACTCAAGGTGAATATTAGGTCCTGTCTTGCTGGATCATCCTTACCTCTCTCTAACATCCTTACCTGTCTCTAACATGTTGATGCATGATGTTTTCCAGCACCACATCCATTATCTTGGCTCTCCGTGTTTTCAGGACCCCCATGGGGCTCCAGGTTTTCCCAATCGTTTCATTGTGATTAAAATCACATATAACCAGTAACTTTGCTCTAAATGTATGAGCTTTTCTGGCCACCTCGGCTAGTGCGTCTACCATTGCTCTGTTGCTTTCTTCATATTCTTCTCTTGGCCTCCTGCAGTTCTGTGGTGGGTTGTACATCACTGCAATTACCACCTTATTGGCCCCCTACTATGTAGTCTCTTTCCCCCATTACATGTATTCCTTCATTTCCTCAATCCCCACCAGTTTTTTAATGAGCAGTGCAAGTTCTCCTCCCCTTCTGCTCCTTCTATCTTTCCTCAGGATTTGATATCTGGGTGGAAAGATTGCATCTGTCATCTTGGTGAGTTTCATTTCTGTGAGTGCTATTATGTCTGGGGATGTCTCCTTGATTATTTCATGTCACTCCTCACATTTGTTTATTCCATCTGCATTTGTATACCAAACCCTCAACTTCTTTCTAAACTGTGGTCTGGGGGGGTTACATTGGGGTTGGGGAAGTGAGAGCCCTGATGAGGTCCTATGGGCAGTTGCTGTGAAGGTGGAGTTTGTAATGAGGTGGGTGGGGGCATTGGGTATGTCATGTGTGTTTTGGGTTAGAATGTTTGATTGCATTGGGGTTGTCCTGGTTGGAGGGCTTCTGTAGGTGGTTGTGAGGGAGGTTGTATTTGACCTTCTTCCTGAGTCTGGGTTCTCCTGTACATCTCCATCTTTGCCTCTCTTTCCTCCTTACATCTTTATACCCTCTCTTTCAGTTTCTGCCTTTCTTCTTGTGTTATGTTGCAGTCGAGATACACCCTCTGGTATGCTGACATGTCCCTTAGTCATGCTTCCTCCTGCAGAATCCTGCTTCGAGCCAATTCTCTCTTGAAAATCACTTTGACTGGCTGGTTTCTTCCTCTTGCAAACCCCCCTATTCTCAGAAAATTTGCCAGGTGGGTCATGTCATCTTCTATTGTTTTCATGATGCTTTCAGTCGCTTTTTTTCCCCTTGTCTTCTTGCTTCGTAAGTTTCCCCTTCAACTTCCTGGAGCCCATTAACAAAGACTGAACTCTCCCTTTCATTCTCCTG